TATAAATAATGGACTAGGGATTAGTATGAAAATTGTCAGTAAGCATTTGAGTCAATGATAAATTATATATGCTGACATTGTCATTGTATTGACCATAGAACTTACGAAATGATTACTTTAAACGAGGCTGCTGATATCTTGTTTCCTTAACTTAGTTGTCAATAAATTACCTTATTTACGAAATTGTTCATACGTAGAGCATACTCTTGCGTATCGAGTCCACTGGGATACATTAAATCCATATGCAGGCGATGAAGGTATTTTGCTGCAAAAGTAAGGAAAGTTAAAGATAGAAAAGTTAAAGTCATCAGGTTTATCATCAATCTTCGAATTCTGAATATTGTACCAGTTTCCCAAATTTAAATTTATTCTTGAAATTGGCTAAAAAGTTTATGCATTATGTATAAATTCTTGTTTGTTTTTCTAGACAATTTAACGGAAGGTATTATCATAATCTTACTTTAATGTTCATGACAACGAACCAGTCTCAGCGCTTAATTTTCTAGATTTCAGACATCGCACTGTCTTAGAAATTGATGTGTTCCTTATCGTGTATTTTTTATGCTGCATTACTTATCAAACCCTTGGTGGGTCATTCATTTCCTATGGACATATTACTAATTTTTAAATACATATTTCTGTTGATCCAAATTTCTTTACAATTACTAAGAAACCTGACCTAATATCAGAAACATAACAAAACTCTTCCCTATTCTTACTACTACCGTGAAACCGCAGGGGGCTTTAGGTTTCTTCAACTTCTGTTTCTTTGTCTGTCAGTTTCTCCCCTTGGTTCCTCCTCCATACATATTTTCTACACGCTTCTAAATATTGTGCTGATTTTGGTATGTGAGCGTATAATGTTGTGTCACAGAACAACTTTGCATTTCTTTCCGCTTCAAGGATTTTTGATGGGGTATCGTTGACGACCTTTTCATTTTTTTTTAAGGGATCTCCGCATTTTCTTCCTTAAGGCTTGCGAATATTGAACTGATTTATATTATGTGACTTTACCTAGATGATAGATCAAGTTTAAATTTAGTTCAATTTCAGTGAATTTTGACGGAGTTATGACATTTTCTATTTTCAATGCGACCAGATTTTAATTGCCGGTAGGGATTAGAATTGAAAGTAAGGCAATATTTTAGAATGTGTGTTTCATTGCTTTAACACGCGTAGGCAGTTTTTATTCCCAGGTCTACCATCTCATTGAATACAGGCTTTTTTCTATGTTCCATTGACTTTTGCAGAATCCTTTGTCAAAATATAGAATTAAAACTAGTGTTTCCCATTATTTTTTTATTACTTCCGAATCTTAAATGTACAATTTTCACATTGCTGTATGTTGAAGGTTGGTTTCGCAGTTTATAAAGTGTGATCTCTTATAACCTTTTTATTGTATTAATTAAATATCTATTAATAACGTCCTTTATAATTTGATTTGCTTTCAATTAGTGAAAAAAAGAGAAAAGAAAATTTTATTTTATCAAATACCTCGATTTAACCAAATAAAATTGCACAACACGAGAACATTATTCATCTTGTATAAAGATATGGAAGCTACGTTCTTCTTTTGGCATTTTTTTTACTATTTTTTTTTCATTACGTTGTTTCTTCTACAATGTAATTGTTACTAGTTTCTAGTTTACGTTTATTTAAATCCGTGTGCAATATAGATTTTTTTAAAATCTCATTATACGAGGGTTGTCCCAGAAAAACGCGAGCTTTTTCAATATTTCATAAATAACCGAACCAAAATTATTTTGTCGTTTGGCTAAATAACATAAGGTTGTAACTTAATATGCGTTAAGGAACAACATTTAAAGGGTGTTGAATATCACTGGTCGGCGCAGGTGACTTTCAAAATGTGCATTGATAGCGATGATTTCGTTTTTTTTATTATTCGTGTATACGTAAAATATAATGTGCTTCAGTTCTTGTGTGGAAAAAAAAATAATACCCTGGCATTATAAATGAGAAAAATATTACGTTAAAATCAACAAAAAACTATAAGTTATAAATTGTCAAAAATGCGACGTCGGCCTATAATGCGACGCACCAAATTATCACTCAGTGTTGTGTGGAGCGGGATATGACCCCTGTTCATATAGGAAAAGAGCTGGGGTCAAGGGAACGACACAAATAGATGTTTCAGAAGCTGGTTTATACATAGTAAAAGTGTTTCAAAGCTTTTTTTATGTTTTATTTTGAAGCTTTTTTCCATTTACATAAATACATATCATAACATAGAATATCCACCCACTCACCACCACAATCACACACACTCACACTCCCATTTACTGAGTATGTTGTCCTTATATTGAAAAACTTTTTCACAATATTTTTCTATGTTTCTGTAATACTTAAATAATCTTATTGCATCAATAAATAACGTTTTTTGTCTTGTGATCTTGAATAGTAAATACATGTAAATTTTTTTGCAACTAATATAAGAAAATTTTCCAAGCAACTTCCTTCTACATTTCCAAGTAAAACAGTTCATTTGGATATTTTATTATCTTTTTCAATGACGTTAAACCATTTCCAAATTTATTCCAAAATTCAATCACATATATACAATCATAAAATAAGTGAATAATTGTCTCAGTTTCAATATTACAGAATGTACATACACTATTTTCTGACAGCTTGACTTTATGAAGAAAGGAGTTGGTAGCAATATAATTCATCAGTAATCAATATTGAAAATAAATTGTTTTTGTCTCTTTTGTGCAAAATGATGCATTTACCAAACAGAATTTCCATTCTTTTTTTTTTGTTGAGATTTACACATCTAATAAAGTTTCCCACTTTTCTTTTTTTGAAGTTGAGGCTATAATCTCCTTTTCTTTCAAGATATGATACAAAAATTTTACATTATTTGTTGATAACAATTTTTGTACAAGACATATTTCCGGTTCAATATTTTCAGGAATTCTATTTTTTCTAAACAGAATGAGCTGCCTTTTAATTTTTGAGGGTATTTTTGAAATCAGATGATTATAGGTTAAGAAATTGTTAGTTTCAAGTACATCTTTTACTTCATTAAAACATTTGATTTTTTCGTTTTCTGACACTATATCATTCAAGTTCTTAACACCTTTTTCAACCCATTTTGTATAAAATTCCCACTTTTTAACATCCAAAAAATTTCTTATATCTAAGTACAGGTAATCTAATACATGTTCAGGACTTCTCTTAACCTTTATCAGAGCTTTAAAAACATCTTTCCAAAAACTATTATCAATAGTTTTAACAAATTCTTGAAGTTTCGCTTTACATTTGTTCATAAATAAAAAATAAATCAACACTGTCAAGTTTGTAAATACATTTTAGCAAATGTTGCAAGGCACCTTCACTTTCGGTCAGATACTTCTTTACCCATTTTAACTTGATATATGAAATGAAAGATTGTAAGTGTAGCATATTTAAACCACCATCCTCATATCTTCCGATAAGTGTATTCCTTTTAGCTTTTCTGTCTTGTATCCCCAAATAAATTAAAAAAAAATATTCTGTTCATTTCTTCGAAAAGATCTTTTGGGGGGTCAAACAGGGCAGAAAAAAAGTGTATAAGCTTAGGGAGAGCTAAAGTCTTGGTAACTGTGATTTGGTGAAAGTTATTCCAAGAATTTAAAAACTATAGTTTAAAGTTAGTTTAAAACTAGAGTTTCAAACCTTGATGGACTAGTTTTACAATCAAAAGGTCTATAAGCTGTACATCATAAGTGGAGCCCCGTAGGGATCCGGGTTAGAATAGGTCCTCAGAACCCCTTGCTTGTCGTAAAAGGCGACTAAATGGGGCGGTCCTTCGGATGAGACCGTATAAATCGAGGCCCCGTGTCACAACGGGTGTGACACGATAAAGATCCCCCCTGCTCAAAGGCCCTGAGTGCCGAGCATAGGCCTCACCGCTAACTATGCGAACGGTTAGATTTGAGTGGAAAATTGTTTACGTAAAGAATAAATTTTGAAATGTATATACAGGTATGTGCTAATTCTAAGGATTTAAATCATTTGATTGTAAATATTTAAATGCATTTTTCTACTACTGCTGACCGCACCCTACTACTGCTGACCGCACCCCCCTCCTTTTTTTAAAGATAAAACAACTTTCACGGTTGTAAGTAAACTTTGTACTGTAGTAAAAGAGCGAAATTATGAAAAATCACCGTGTATATGTTGATGTGTTTATATGTTTTGCTTATATATATATAGATAGCTTTGTATACTTGTGAAAGCCAATAAAAAAATTCCTTTGTTAATTTTTAACTGTTGCCTTTGTGAAATGGATAACTCGAAAGCTAAAAAAAATCATAGACACTGTCTAATATATGCTTCCAACAATTTTGTAAAATATGCACGTTTTCTAAAAAAAAAAGGAAAAAAAAAGCCACGAGTGACGTTTTGACGTCAGCCGTATTTCACCGACTGCTATTCTGAATGATTTATTAATCAGAAATAAAAATGTTTTTAAAGAGATATTTTATTAAAAATTCTGTGAATTATGAAAAAAATATTGATTATGATGTAAACCAAGTTTACCTTTATAATACTAATGACACAAAAAAAACATAGAAAATGTTCGTGTTTTTCTTGGACAGCCCTCCTACAAGATTATTGAATTTACAAAATTTGTCAAAATTTACATAATGAAATGTAAAAATCTCTTTTTTTCAGTACATTCAATTGGAAAACACACTTTTATATATATCAATCTATCTATTTATTGAGACAACTCTTGACATGGACAAATAAATTTGACTGAATAATTTGCAGTTAAGCAAAAGAACAAGCTATAATGAAATTCGTAGAATTACTTTAGATGGTATGCATATACGTAAAGTTTCTAAATCAAGGGTATAAAATTAGACTTTTGAATTCCTTGCTAAATTTTAATACAGATCAGTATATAAAAATTATAAATGCAAAGGGTAGCGATCCAAATAAAGTAAGTCCTTCAATAGTTCACTATTTTTATGGTTCGTGATTACTTTTTGTTATGAAACGATCTGTGAAGCAAAAAAGAGTATATAAGGATTACTAGAGAAATTCAAAAATGCGAAGAGTAATGCTACATAGTATGTGTATAGTAAAAAGGTCTCTGAAATATTATTATTATCATTATGAAGCTTATAAGCAAAGAAAACAGAGTTATATATTAAAACTGAAATTTGAAAGCAAATAAAAACTGATAATATAATGGAAATAGTGACATTCATTTTTCTATGGATGTTGTTTGTAATAGGAGAGATTTTTAAAGCTTTCTCTTTTTTGATGTGTATAATAATTATCGCACAGATAGAAAGCAGCCCTAGAAGAGTATAAATGATACCGGAGATAAGACGAATGATTTTATAAAGATGAAGTGGATCTTTAATAATCGTTGTTATTATTATTAATCTGAAAGCTGAAAACAGGGAAAGAAAAGTACAAATCATCACAGAGCATGCCAAAACAATTGAGGGGGTAAGTCGAATCTTGCTCTGTAAGGGATGAACTGTTAATAAATATCTGATCATATAGAGGAAAACAATTTGTGAACTTGAACAGCTAAAAAGTATATCACGTAGAAAATAACCAATTGCAATCCCAAAAGCTCTATCGAAAACAAGATGTTGAATTTTAAGATAAGTTACCAAAGTCGAAAATTTATCTAACATAGCCGAGATGATATTAAGCATATCGAAAAATGCAAGGCACCCGATGGCAACAAATGTTGGAGTATGAAACTTTTTATGGCATAAAATTGTGCAGATGGTCACGATATTTCCAACGAAACCCAGTATTCCGATAATCAATGCCAAAATCGTCGTTGATTTCTCAAATTCTTCCGATGTCAAACCAATAGCCCTTGCATTGAATAAATAGAACGACACGGAAAATTCTTTTAGAAAATCATAATAGTTTGAAGAACCATGTTCTGTTTCTTTCCAGCTTCCCTGAATGATTCCGCCAAATAGAAACCGATATATATTTTTGTAATTCAATTCTGTCTCTTCATCAATATGAGATGCGTTCAATTTAGAAGGTTCAGATGTGGGTATCGACATTTCCCTTTTATAAAATCCCATTTCTCAGCAAACTGTAAAAAAAGTATTTTTAGTCAACAGAAATGACACATTATTATTTATACTTAAAAATAATAAAAGTAAACACCAAATACTCACTTTGAATGAAAAGAAAATACGTTAAAAAATGGTTCTTCAACTAAACATACCTCTCTTTGTTTTCAATGGGTAACGGTGGTAAGACGTGTTTCAAGTTAAACACTGGCTTGTTGATGTTTGGTGACAGCTTATTTTAGCTATAAAAAATTGGTAAATATGAAGCGAGATAAGATATGAAAAGATATAAATTTTGCATACTCAAAAGTGATATACTAAAGAAAAAGGGACACCCGGTAGGGGAGATATATTGCTCATGCAATACTCTCAGAATGTTTTTTTTTTTAAAATATTGGTTTTATCCTGTATATCATTGAAAAGAAATATCCCTTTATATTGTTCAGAAAGCAAATAATAGATTACCATTTTTGTACCCACAAACTCCTTTTTTCGGTACTATTTTTTTTTGTAAAATGACTCTATGTTCAACATTAATACAATGGCATATCGAATACTCCTGTATTGCTTGGTATGCAGGATTATCCAAATCTTTTATAATTAAAAGAAAAAGATACAAATCTCAAAAATAAGATGGTTCGAGTCATTTTGAATTTAGGTCCACTTACATCTGTGAATTACAAAATACTTTATCAAGTAAATTTATTAAAATATTCAAGACGGAGTCTTTCAGCTTTAATTCAACATTGTTTTCATCTTTTTCAAGAAAAAAATCATTCTTATATCTTCCTGAACATTTTTTACGTTGGTTAAATTTTAGGAATTATTATACTAGATCAGCCTCGAATGCAGATGATTTTGATGCACCCCACTGAATGTAAAGAAAATGCATTTAAAAAAATGGTTCTTCAACTAAACATACCTCTCTTTGTAGTCAATAGGTATCAGTTGTAAGACGTGTCTCAAGTTGTCTAGTTGCCAGTGTCTACTGGCTTGTAGATGTTTGGTTCAGCTTATTTTAGCTATAAAAAAAGATTATCAGACGTATATCAGTCAGGCTTTCTTTACTGAGAGATCAGCTCAGAGATAGGAAATATGTAATCTTTCCTGCTTTTGGTTATCGTAAAGTTTGATCATTTAAAGTTTTCATATTTTATTTGTATTTAAAATACAAATCTCGGCATATAAATTTAACAAAATAAATTATTCACACTTTGATCGTATGTACTGTACATTTATTATGTGATGTTCTAGAACTGGATTCACCACTTTTCATGACACCTAATGCAAAGTAAAAGTAGAACGAGTATGTGTAATACATGCATATCCTTTCGTATTTAACGATGTCCTTGTTGAATTAATGGTATAAATGTTGTAAAAAGATTATGTCCAACTAGATGTTTTGATTAAATTATGTATTTATGCGCCAGGATCGATGGATCTAGGGCCTATATTGTTTTTGTCCTGTCTTTTTATCTGTTTGTCTGTTTATCTGTTTGTCTACTTGTCTGTCTGTCTGTTGTCAACTCTAATCTTCGCCATAACTTTTGAACCATGAGAGGTAGACACATTATATTTGACATGCAAACTCTGCTAATAAATTTCTTTCAAATGACCTTGTGTCCTTGGCTGTGACCTATATGCTTAATAAAAACTTTTTTTGAACTTTTATCATGACTTTTCCACCATAGAAGATAGAGACTTCATATTTTTTATGCATACCCCACTAATTAAGTTCTTTCAAACGACACCAAGGTCAATAACCTTATGACCTTGACTGTGACCTATATGCTAAAATTATTTTTTTCGAACCCTTTTTGCCGCCGGGCGCATAGTGTTTTACAAACACATCTTTTTTCACTGTTTTTTTTTAACTGTATTATGCAAACACGTCTTATAAGCTGCAGGCAGTCTATTTTTTTCTATTTCATGGCGGCGCAATGCGTTATGGGTGAATTTTTGTTTACTTCTTGATCCGCGCATCTAATATTTATGCTCTGACAGATTTTTTTTATTAATTAGAAAAATGAGCTTCAAGGTGATTAATCATGTTGTATGATGCATTAATGAATCAGAGTCATAATTTATTTATATTTTAAACTAATTAAAGTAATTTTTTAACGCAGCTAGGCTAAGGTCTCACTTGAGTACCTGAGCTTATGCAGAAATTCGAGAAATCGATTATGACGTCACGGTAAAATTATTCAAATGAATATCGGCGAATAAATACTTATTTTCTTTTTCAAACACTTTTACATGCAGTCATTTCTCATAAATATTGTAAAAATAAATCAATGTATCACTTATTTTGTCGTTTTAACACCTTTATCTCGCTGTACTGACTGCGATGACGTCATAGACTAGCTTGACACGCAGTTTCTCTGTACCTGAGACGTAGTTAAAGCTATCAATGAAGCTTGTAGATGTGAAAAATGAAACTAAATAGGCGTGATCTGACTAAAAGTGTGTCATATTCCTGAATGCATTAATCAATATTTTCCAGTCCTATAAAATTAAAAAGCTATTAGGTTTATATAAAGCCGTAATAATGTACATTTATACATCAATGTACTAAAATCACAGGCACAACCCCTGGAAAACCACAAAAGTTCGACGTTATCTGCTTAACTATAAATTATGATTTTTTTTTATACACTTGTAGCTATTGTCCCTACAATTTTGAATTTTTTTGAGAGCAAGTTCTTTTGATTTTTTCCAACATTTTACATTATTTCAATTCGTATTATCTTAATGTACGAAGTTTATCAAAGAGACGGCTAAATATTTCATTTATTCCCGGGCATGAGGAAGTTGCTCCTGGCACTTTTCAGGTTAAAGAATTTGTTCTATAAACGAAACAAAATTTCATCGTAAACAATTATTCGTATACCGTTGAACTTTTACGACCTTTGTAGTCCTACACTTTTTTCCTGATCATAATCGTGTCACGTGACAAACAGCTGATCTAAGTGAAATCGCTTTCATCTGTAAACCTTTACTGAATGTGATTTGACAATAATTGTTATTTTATTAAAGAATTGAATAATATTTCGTAGTTTATTTCATTTTCCATGTCTAAGGAGAAAAAAATCAAGAATCATCTACTTGTCTTAACCTGAGAGATGATTTTCATACAAAGAAAAAAAAAACGTTTGTATCGTCTGTCCTTTACAATCAAGAATTCCATTAATCTTTTACATAACCTGTTCAGAGTACTTTTGTGAAGTCATTATACAATGTATTCGTTCACATTTTGCTTTTTAAAGTTCAAATGGCTCTATTGCTTTAATCTATTTAATGCAAGTGATAATGTAAATTTAAGTCCCAGAGAGGCATCAATTCTCAGAGAAGAATAAATGGTCATAAAAAGAATTATGCAATCGGACGAAGAACAAAAAAAAAAAAAAAACAACAAAAAGATCTATTTAAATATGTAATTTTAGAATCCATTTTTTCTGTTTAAAAAACAAAGATACATTTATGAGGAACAAAACATAATGAAAAAATAAAAAAATAGCATTAAATGAACTGCAGATACAACAAAATGTCAAGAATACAAATATAACGTCCGTTTTTTCGGGATATTTTTATTTTAAAGTCAATCACAATGAGGCACCAGTGTTTTATAACTTTTTTAAAAGTTTCTTGTTTCTCGTTGCCTGCACTAAATAAAATTTGATTTAAAAAAAACACATTATTTCTAACTCTGAGTATAAATAAGCGACATCAACCAAAGTTGTGAGAAATATATTAGACCCAACACTTTAAACATCACTTATAATAGATATGTTTCTGCAGATATATTTGAATTATGCAAGTAGTTAAGTACTTATAGAGTGTTTTGAAAGTTAAGTAGCCTCTACACTTCAGGACGCACTTATCAAGGCGTGGTTCCTCTTTTTCAGATACTGAACCTACTATCAAAGAACCTATCAACGAAAACCGATAAAAACTCATCCTCAAAAAACTAACAGAACACCAGTTACGTAACCCTAAAGTACTGGTTTCTAAATTTGACCCTTGCATTAAAGGACTGAAAAAAACATTCTGAAATATTAGAATACCATTCATAGAAATCCAAGAGTGCAAAACTTCATTCAATTCTCAACAAATCATACATGTAGCTTACAGGAAACACAAAAATATAAGTTGACGAGATAATCATGTATCATCTAAAATGAACGTCATATCATGTGTCTGTGACCCCTGATAAGCCTACTTTTAAGTATCAATATCTGTCTAATTTTTTTGAGAATATCACTATTTAATTTTCGTAAAAAGGTAAAACAAGGAACTTCCTAGATTTCCAAAGCTAGTTTGAACAGTGCAGATTTGCAAATCTTGAAAATAATTATAAAAAAGTTTCAGAATCAGATATTTAAGGAATGAAGCTTATTTCAACTTATGTTATCCGACATAACATAACTTGGGGCAGTTTACACTTTATAAACCGCGAAACATTAAGTTTTATCTTAACGTGAAGTTTCATAGATCACTATAAATTATAGTTCAAAAGAATTCAAAAGTTTGAATAAAAAGATTGATTAGAGAAAACTAAGGGTAAGAAAAAATGTCGGAAAATCACATTGGTCTTACCATTGTTAAGCAGGATTTGACATTGATTATCTATTTTAAGGTTTAACAAAGTGATAACTGTTTAAATTCCCATTTGTTAACATTTCCAAATAAAAGTAATGACGATAGATTTCAAGACTGGACTCTGTAATTGCCTTTACACATGATTATTCTGTTTAAAAACGGTAAAAGCGTTTAAAACAAAACCGATCTTAAGTGCAGGTAAAGATTTAGATATTGTATCTCCGAGGATTAAGGTAAAATTCTTTTATTTCCTTCTTAAAAGAAATTTAATTATCAAAGAGAGCAATGTCTTATGTGATATCCTACCCAAACATCCATAACATACATGGGCGTACATAAGCCCTATGCGTGTTTGTGCAACGTTGCTTAAGAATCTTGTTTTAGAATTAAAAACACATTTAAATTTTATTATTTATTGTATGGCAGATTTTGGCCACAGTGGCCGGATAAGTATTTCAACAATCAACATCATATTGAGGCCGACGGACAACAGGGCTCACCCCCTACAACATCATTTAATGTGTTGTCCGAAACGGAAAGTAGCATGCTGGGTTGGGGTTCTTAGTCATGCTACCGACACATCAACAATTAATTAAATATACATCTATATACTTTAAATTATATATATATATATGAAAATATTATCAAATCAACATCAACTTAACATCAGTCAACATCCATGTAACAACAGTCAACATCATATTTCACAACCAACTTCAATGTGACGATATATCCACAAGGGTACCTGATGAATGTGTGCATTTGCAGACATAAATGAACAATCAGGTTTCCCTACGCCACATGGTGGGGATAGGACTCTTCAAGACGATTAAAAAATTCCGGACAAATTTCTGGATTATGCAACTGACTGAGAGACTAAGTAATCAACCAAATAAATCATTATTACAAATCAACAAAATACATATAACACCATCAATATTAGCATCAAACAATAATATGACATCAAAAGCCTTGATAACGGTATATATTTACAGACAACCTGAAATAAATGCAATAATACTATATGTATATTTTTAAAAGATTTCTTTACACTATGTTGCTCAACCATATTGAGATGGCTTGGAGAACATATATTTATTTTTTTTCTTTACAAGTTCTTATGTAATGTTGCATCATTTTCCATACCATTAAAAAACGAGGAAATTTAGATTTCTCTTTTTTTTTTCCAAAGGAAAATAAAACATAAAGTATATCAAAAAAATCTTAGTGATTATGCATTCAATAGTTTATATAATGAGAGGAAACTACTCGGGTTTTACCACTTTGAACGAGGGTGCTCAATTTCACAGGTTGTCTGTTTTCAAGGTTAAGTAAATTGATAGTGTCTTTTAATTCCTTTTTTCTGTTTACTTTTTCATTATTGAACAGAATTCAATGAATTTCAAGACATGAATCAGTATTTGCACAAACGCATGATAATTGTTCTGTAAATATTAAAACATTTAAAATGTAGCGATTTTCAGTGCAGAAATAGATTTAGAAAATGCATTCATGGAAAACAAGGTAATTTTTTCAACTTCCTTTTTTGAAATAAGAAAATAATTTTAAGATCTCTTTCCTACATGATCTGTTGCTGAATCATTTTAAAATGGTAAAAGAAAAAACATAATCACAGATTTCGTTATAATACGTTTAAGTATTTAGTCGTTTACAAGAGATAGGTTGTTTTGAATTGAGAAAAAGTATGGTCTTAGGACATAAACAATCTTGTTTTATATGTTCCTTGTACCCTCTTTTGGCTCATATACACTGTACAATATAATTGTTTAAGAAAAAAAAATATTTATTGACGTAGGTATTTTTTTTCCTTTCTGTGAAAATCCTCCGAAATATTCGGGAGGAAATCAAACGTTCATACTTTTTACTATTTCCAAATCCATTTTTATCATAAAGTTTATAAAATGTTAAATCAACATATAAAACCATATTTTTTTTTTAGACATAAATCACAAGTAAAACATGTTTCATGTTTTCTACGGCAATATTGATTAATCAGTAATAAAATTGAATAAAATTGATTTTTTTTTTGTGTGTTAACCTAATTTTTTTTACCAATTGTCTATAACTACGAGGGTCATCAAGAAAGTTCGTGGACAATGACTTTTTTGTCAAAATAAATGGTTCTTTATGCATCTGTTGCATATCAAAATATTTCTTATGAAAAACCAGGTCAAAATGGTTTGATACTTATTTTGGAAACTTAATTTTTTTTGTAAAAATCGGGGTCTCTAAAGATCGCAGATTGTGCGCACGGACCAGTCTGACGTTAAGCTAATTTCATTATAACGTCAAACATTTGGATTTTGCCTTAACACATGTTCACGGACACACACTTCATTTCTTTTTTAAAGCACAACGCACTTCCAAGTGCTAGCAATAATCTTTAAGTATAGATTATAATTTATTTAATTTTTAAAATTCAAAACAATGCACAAAAATTTACGAGCGTCATCTAAATAAACATTTCGTATACACAAACTCCACAGCCCAGTCCGACGCTGCGCTAGATTTATAACAACGTCATGAATAGAAATCTCCATTTTCCGTAAATCACATGTGTTTTTAAATTAAAATAGTGTCTTCGAATTTGTACACACCGTTGAAAAATCGTATATACCCATCTCAAATTGATACACTAAATATATTTCAATAATTTTGAGTTGTTTTAACAAATATTTTATCTCATACGTTGTTTCCATCGTATAAAAACTCTTTTTTTGATCGGACGCTGCCCCGTGCAGACGGCCGACGTTGCTTTTTTGTCAAGTTTTGACACATATTTGTTAGGGGTTTTGTTTAGTATTTGTAATGTCTATATATTAAGCGAAACTTGAGATATAATTAATTTGTTATATCCTTTTTATCTGTGTTACATAAAATTTTTATTTATTTTTGATTTGTCTTATATAGAAAATAATCATTTTAATTCGAACACTTTATATAAGAAGTTATGTCATTATAACCTTGTGCACTATCCGCGACCTTTAAAGACACCGATTTTTACAAATATTTTACGTTCTATCAATAAAAATTAAATCATTCTAATTTCTTTTTTCAAAAGAAATATTTTGATATATACAAAAGATGTATATAGAACCATTTATATTCACAAAAACGTCATTGTCCTCGAACTTTTTTGGACAATCCTCGTATTGTCATACAGTGTAATTAGGTATTTATTTATTTGACTTTTTAAATATTGTTGTATTTTCTTCATGAAAAACCCCAAAACATTGTTTTATGATAACTTAAACATAGCTTCATGATTTAATAAAATGAAAATAAAAAGAATAATTAAAAATCGAAAAGATTGGAAATTGAATTTTCGACTTAAAAACAAAGCAAAAAAAAAAAACTTAAAACCGAAACAAATATCAAAAACTAAAAAACAAAAAATAAAAAAGGAATACCTGCAGATATATTAATCATTATATTTCATCAATAGATATTCTTAAGTTAGTGTCAATTAACATACATTTTTTATCATTATACATACATGTATAAGTACTTTTTTGTGGAGGTAGATGATGCAATTGTAGCTGTATTGTTTTTATCTTTTGTAGCATTATGAACTTTGTAGTTATTGAAGTGTGTCTTCTCGTCATTTTAGCAACATGTATTCGCGTTCAAACTTTGGAATGTTCGTCAAACAAACGTTGTGTATGTCATAAAATAAATGGAGATTTATGGGCGATGTGCGAAAACCTTACACTTGCATCAGCACCTACCTTTAGTAATGACGTCATAGGGGTTATTCTTGCTAATAACATATTAAACAATTTTCCTACAAATCTGCCTCTAAATGTCACTTACTTGGACCTCTCAAGAAATTTGATGAGAATCGTGAATCAACAATCAATAGAGAAATACAGATATCTACGCAATTTATCTATTTCACGTAATTCACTACAGATAATCGAGCTAGGTTCTTTTCAAAACTCTCCTAATCTTCTGCACCTTGATATTTCCGGAAATCAGGAGCTTACTCTTGAGGTTTTGGCTAATATATCGAGAGATTTGAGAAATTCTACTGCTATTCGCGTTTTAAATTTTGAGAATCTACAATGTACATACGGCGTAAGTTTCATTGTTAAAAGATACCACCTAATTGGACTTAAACAGACACATTTGGAGGAACTGAATTTGGCATCAAATCGCATCAACAGTCTAGAAGCGGGTGTTTTGTCTGAGCTACCCAAGTCCCTAAAGCATCTTAGTCTGGCCAATAATAGACTCAGTTTTGAGATTTATTTAGTAGAATTCGGTGATTTGCCAAATATCATGTCCATCAATGCGAGTTTCCAGTCCTCTTTTCATCAACTCAATGTAGACGACATTCTCATGGACTGCAATGATATTCGAAAGGTGTCTGTAAGCTCATCAAAAAACCAGGTTTTGGGCCAAAGAAAGAAAATGCCTTTACAGAGACCGAAAAATATAACTTTCTTCTTGCCTTCTACACTCCAAACAGTGTATTTTCACGACAACATGTATAAAATGACTCTTCAAGATTTTTCATTCAAATTTTTTGGTAAACCTACCTTGTCAAAGCTTTATTTGCAAAACAATATTATCTATGAACTGAATGGGCCCATTACTGGCATGAAAAGTGTCATTTATGCGGACTTCTCGAATAATTTTTGCAGCTATATCTCACCAAGATTTTTTGAGGATTTTAGAAACTTGTCCCATCTTGATCTTTCATATAATGCACTCGGTGAAAATCTTGAAAATGACGTCGATGGAAAAATATTTCAAAATCTGAGGATGCTCACTTCCTTGAATTTAACTCGAAACAGGATTCTTCGACTTCCAGCAAAAATATTTCAAAATCTAGTTCAACTTAAACAGTTAAACCTGAGCTATAATTCTCTTGGTGAATTTACAATGCCCATAAACCATATGGTTCATTTGTCTAATATAGACCTCTCTGATAACCAGATATCGTCAATAAATATGGAAACTAGAAAAATGTTGCACGCAATATCACATGAAAGGCACATCTCTTTAAATTTAAGGGGCAACAAGTTGAGATGCGATTGTGGTAATGTAGAATTCGTGAAATGGGTTCTCAATTCAAAGAATATTGTTTTTCTTCATTTTGATGATTATTTATGTACTTTAACGAATTTCACTAAGATTCGTTTCTCAGATAATCGATTACTCGAACTCTTGGACAAGCAGTGTTCCTCATATACTCTTATCATCGTGATTATTACGTCACTAATCTTTGTTATCTTAACAATCACCATCAGTCGTATTGTTTATAGATACAGGTGGAAATTAAGATACATGTATTACGTCGCAAGGGAAAAGTACAAAGACAATCAAAAAAGACAAGAAACATTAGATTTGTTTCACTTTGATGCATTTGTATCTTATGCCGAGAAAGACAGAACATTCGTCATCGACCTTGTTAAGCGTCTGGAAGAGGAATTCAATCTAAAGTTGTGTATACACCATCGTGATTTCATCCCAGGAACAGGGATAGCAGATAATATTACCAATGCAATTCATAATAGCAGGAAAACCGTCTGTGTCATCACTTCACATTTCTTACATTCATACTGGTGCATGTTTGAACTAAACATGGCACGCATGGAGGCCATTTATTCCAGAAATGGTGAAAATGTTCTGCTTTTGGTGGCTTTAGAAAAAGACGTCATGAAGTCTATACCGTTCACATTCATGGATTTGATTGACTCTAAATCTTACATAGACTTTCCAGAGGAAGGGGGCAAGGATGAAGAAACAGGTTTCAGATCGAAACTTGGAGATGCCCTTAAATCACGTGACAACAAGTTTTGATATCAGTCAGCAATAAAAGGATTTTTATCTAGTTAAACACCGCTCGAATTGTGATTTTGTTATTATATAAATCGGACTAAGGATTCTATTTTTATGTTTAAAAAAAACAGTAGCAAATTATTAATATTAATATTTTCTATCTCTTACACCGTTTCATTTCTTCTAAATCAATATTAGTATAAAATTTTGTTTGCATTAAAAAGATTGTAATATTTTATATAAACCACAACCTTTGGATATGTATAGAATTTGAAATGTTAATATGGTCGTTATTTTTTTGTTGCTGTTTGAAGTCTGCCTTCGACTATATTTCAACACATTCACCCTATATGCAGTTAAAGATAAATAACGACATCACAAATTAAGTAATTAAACATTGGAATAGCGGATATCCTGTCCTCCTTTCTCAGTTTTTAGCTACTTAATGTATTTTGCCAAATATCAAAATATGATATTAATCAATATGAATATAAAAACAAAGTAGTAGGTTCTATGAGGCCTTTCATTTCGAGTTCACTATAAAATGTCGTTTCACCATAAAAATTATATTTTGATACAATGTCTTTTTTTCTACTCAATTTTGTAACACAAGGGAATTAATACATATGTAGTCCTTGAATAAGTTTATTGTTCAGTTGAATATGTCGACAGTGGGCCTAAAATAAACAATACACAATTAAAATTGATAATCATAAACAAATAAATGTAAACATAACCTTTTTTCATATTTCATTATTAGTATAGAACGTATTGAGATAACAAACATTATTCAGTTAAGAAAGAACGGAGAAATACAACTAGCTCATTGCATTAAACTTGTATTGCTTTTATTTTATTTATTAATAACAATATTATCACAGAGAATTCAATTGATGCCGCTATGAGAAATATATTTTACACCTTAGGATAATTCCGCATATCTCTGCGCAGTCTGCAGGATATGCGCCTTTATCGCAGCGCAATTATCAAATAACCTTTCATTGCGAAATCGCATGCTTAAATTTCTTGACAGAGTAACCCAATCAAAATCCTTGATTTTGTTGCGCCATTTTTGTTAGCCTGGTAGTGCCTTGAAAAAAAAACTGGATTTACTCATTTATGTTATATTTTATGCATATTTACATGTACTCTGATATGTTCACTGCATGTAAATTTCTAATCAGGCTCAGGGGGATCACACTTGTACCTTTCACCTATGTACATGTAACCTGTATTGTTTAATATTAGGTGATCCCCCTTAATGATTTGTTTTTACCTTTTACTTTATGTCATTGAATTAAATGACATATTCGACAAAACTGCATATCTGTGTTTGGTTATTTTTCACTGCACTATCAGGCTGATATTTCTCATAGGAGGCATAAACACGCTTAGTTCAACACCGGGTTTGTTCTGTAGATCAAACTTAAATTTGCACATAACATTGAGCACGGATTGACATTACTGGACAATTAGTCTCACATTTTACTGTGATAGTTTAGAAATTCTTCAGCAACACACAGCATTAATAATTTTCTTAAATTTTAAGGATAAAGTTTACTTTGTGAAAGTGCAGAGTTGTGTCAATCAAACGAGTCCCGAGAACCACAGTTTCAGTAATTTCCATATAAAAATAAGTCTTTATTATATATCCGTATATAATGCTATAGGCGTAACTTTTTTGATACTCATAGTTATAAAATAAAGGATTTCTGCATTTAATTAAGGACATACGAATTTTGCGTCAAAATTAACTTTCAAAAATGACACATATTTATTCTTTTAATTGCTGCAATGATCGACATTTAATCTACAACTTTAAGTAACTACAATAAATAAAGGTCTCATTCACGAAGTATGAATCTGTTTAATGGTCAGCACAATTTCTTCAATCTTCGTAGGGTAAGGAAAACACATACTTTTTAAAAAGATTATTTTATGCATAGTCAGTGTATATTTTTAATATCATGCTCCTTTTAACATAAGTTGTGAATTGCTATAAATAATGCGTTAAAAAGAGATTAATAGACAAACATGTGAACATGGTTTTAAAAAATGCTTCTTCTTTAAATTGCCCTCTCTCTCTCTCTTTCAGTAACCAAGGAGTTTGACACGTTGAATATATTATAATTCACCACGAGACATCTTCCTTCAGGTTTGTGAATACATAGCTCCGTCACGTGACTTATTATAGACTACAGGAGGCGCCCATCCATTTGTTGTATTTAAAGTGTACACATTGTGAATTGAGGTGTTGTATTGTTTCCTTGCTGACTAGGAAAAGGTGCTCTGACACGTTTAATTGCCAGGCATCGATTAAAATTCGCTTGAACCTACATGGCCGGGCACATACTGTTAATTACGTTTGAAATCCTTGTAATTAAGATACCTTAGTACATCTTTTTGTGACAAAAAGAATAAATAAGAAGAAAAAAAGGGTCGTCTCGTTTTTTTAACACATGTCATTGTTATTTATCAATTCTAATAATCACGGTGTTAAGCGCAGTCATCCTTTACAAAAAAATGCATATTCCGCCCTGAAAAGTAAATCACCCATTCTCAATATAAGGGCACAAATGCCTCTCTGATTTTTAAAAAAATGAAGTTCAAGAAAACAATTTTTCTATCAATTACCTTTGAAAGAAAGTATCTGAAGATTTTGTTTCCAGATTTTTTTTCATCAAATTATAATACATGGAATAATGACAAGACGATAAAGCAGAGGGTGATTTTATTCAGAAATGTAGCTTGAAATGTACGTTACTCTTTCTTCAATGTCCAAAAAGATATGTAAAAAAAAATGTAGTCATTAAAATCACAATTGGAATAGCTCATCTTAACACCAGCACATCCTACCAACTCTGTCAGCAACATATTTTCTCGGCATACCAATGTGCGTTTGATTTTTCCTTTCAAAAGACAATGGTTACTTTTAATCCAGATGTATAAAAACATTTTTTTAATATATGCTTTAAATTCTTCTCTCTGTTTTGTTTAGAGCGATCAGTTTGGAATCTTGTCATTTTTTATAGATACTGGAACCTAACATGTACATGTAGAAAAATTCTATTTTGTTGTTACTATCTTTTTTAACATATATCCATGCCGATTTAGAAAACTACGTAAATGTAACGTACATTTCAAGATATATTTCTGTTTAATAAAAAGCTTAAAATTCATCTAAAAATTCATTGTTTTGATTCAGTTTATTAAAAAAAAGATTCTCTGTGTAATCACATTGTGTTATATGTCGCAAACACCACTATAAAGATACGATTGCCTCAGAATATGAGTAGGTAACGTACATTTCAAGCTTGTAATAATATGTAAATTAGTAATAAGAAAATTTTGAAAAAAAAGCAATTATTGACATAAAATTCATTTCAATGAAGCGTTTTAAGGCAGTAATATAAGAAATCATATTGTAACAAACGAGGTTATTTGTCATCAACTACATGAATGTCACGTCACTTTGGTAACGTTCATTTCACATATTATTGGGGAGTCCCCTCCACCTCAGTTCATTACCATTCTTTTTTCAGCTGTTTCGCTGAAATTGACACCGGTCGTAGCCTAGTTACTTCCACCTGTGTGCAAGGGTACAGACAAAAAAAATTAAGAGTCAGACGTATTTTGCTATGATCTAACATATGCTCGTGTTTGGCCATTGAAACTGAACATAAATCTATTCCGAATATATCCATCGACAGTATGTTAACAATTTCATTTAGTATGTTGCAACATCGTTTTTCAAAACACAAACATGCGTGCTTTTCAGCAGATCTGGAAAAATATAACCCAAAATGCAATGATTCAAACAAAACTGAGTATTGTGTGCCTTTCAGTATTTGAAATGTACGTGACCGTCTTGTGTTCTGAGTTTAGGCCTATTTGTTTCTTTTTTTCAATTTTTTGTTTCTTTTTTTTACCAATTATAAGCCTATGCATACCTTGTTTAAATTATCAACAACAATTAAATTATAATATTGACGAAAAGTCGCAAATTAAAAGTAAACAAACAGCAATAAGGTTGCCAAAGATGAATTTAAGACACTTAGAAATAAATTTTCTAGCATGTGGTAACAGTCTAAAACATTTACGAGGATTGGGGGTGCATTTAGATGGATTTATGTGACCAGTTGTCAAATGGATTGTAACGATAATTTTGTTTCGCTCGTGTAAACGCAATTCATTGACTAAATTTAAAAAAAAATGTAAGTTAGAAATACGTGAAATGTACGTTACCATACGTAACGTACATTTCAAATATAAAAATCAATTCTCTTCCACAAGCATACGTTAGACACGCAATATACTGATACTATTTGAAATTGCATATCATAAGAAATGCATCATACAGGTTTCGTATTCAGAAATATATACCAGGTATCAAAATTATTTTACATATAATTGACCTTAATATATTTTTTTTCCTCAGCAGAAACGTTTCTTTTCATTAATTTTGGGATTTAGCCGACCTCCAACCTTTGAAACTTTCCTTTGTGTACACATTCGACTGTGTGAAAGTATGAGAATACATGAAAATTCGTGCGAGATTCACTTAATTCGAATTTCATGGTAACGTACATTTCAGTAACGTACATTTCAAATGATCACTTTTCATGTAAAAAATAATTTTTAATTGTGTTAATCAAATCGTCTTTGCCAGTTTACAGGGTACAAGGGGTTGCTTATTCAGAGTCGTCTCATATTTTCTTCTTAATATATATTCTTAATGGAAAAAATATAGGTAACGTACATTTCTTTCTTATCTCTACGATTGTAAATGTCTTTCATTCCGTAAACATATTTAAAAAAGTTGCTCAAATTGTTCAATTTCATATTACTTTATCTAAGTAGGAGTAATTAATCTATTGAAATCTCAAATTTAGCCCATCAATAAGTAAAGGAGAACAAAACTATCAGGTGTATAATCTTTGTGTTTGCTTTTAATGTGGTTGAAATAAAATTAAGCGACAGGGACATTGCACAATAAAAATTATTTATTATCACAAAGAAAATGTATTTATTGTTATGAAAAGAAATATATATGATACAAGGTTTAACTTATCAGAAAATTTTTACTTAAGATTCAAAACTATATATTACACAGAGGGGATTCAGAATAGTATTTGCCTCGGCGACAGTAACGTACATTTCAAATAGGCTACTATATTTGAATTTTGAACTCCTTAAATACCCTTTCAGATCGATAATTATATGAATTCGTATTCATTGTTATATGACTATTTATAATGTTGATTTAGAAATTTCATCAGTGGTATTTCTTTTAAATGAAATTGAGGCGACATTATTTGAGCCCTTATATTGAGAATGGGTGAAATGCCATATATGGATATCTTGTTAAACGTTGTTGCACGGTAACTATATATAATGTTACCACGCACTTTTCTTTGTACAGACTTTGATAAAAAAAAATTTGTTCGTCATTTTTGATTGATATAAAAAAAATCTACATAACC